TTGCTGATATCTTCTAGGCTATGGTGGTGAAAAGAAAACACACTATGTATAGGAATTATAGGATTTCCCCAAATTGCTACACAGGACTCTTTATCAAGCCCTTCTGGAGTTTCCCTGTCCCCATCACCTGTGGTGACACTGTCCCTGCCTCAGCTTTTCTTTTTTTTTTTTTTTTTTTTTTGAGACAGAGTTTCGCTAGGTTGACAGGCTAGGAGCGAGTGCCGTGGGTCATGCCGTAGCTCACAGCAACCTCAATCTCCTGGGCTCAAGCAATCCTGCCTCAGCCTCCCGAGTAGCTGGGACTACAGGCATGTGCCACCATGCCTGGCTAATTTCTATATATTAGTTGGCCAATTAATTTCTTTCTATTTATAGTAAGGACGGGTCTTGCTCTTGCTCAGGCTGGTTTCGAACTCCTGACCTCGAGCAATCCGCCCGCCTCAGCCTCCCAGAGTGCTAGGATCTGCCTCGGCTTTTCTGCAGGGAGCTGAGGGTTAGAGGCCCTGAGCAGTGTGGAGTCAGCAGGGTTGGGCTTCCGGCCACACCCAGGCTAAGTTCAGCAGCCAGAGAGTAGAGGATGGCTCGCTGCTACCCAGTGGGGTCTGATGCTCATCCTGCTTAGTGTCTTGCTATTCATACATTGCATAAAGGTCTTTTTACGGAGGTAACATTGGTGAAAAAGATGATGTCTTTTCCTGTGGTTGTCAGCTGTGATTCTCATGTGGCCGACCACTGCCACTAAACCAGCAGACTCCCTCGTCTTGTCACCTGCAGTTTTCATAGTCATGTTTTGCTGGGTGTGTCTGGTCATAGGACTGGCAGTGCTGTTCACAGAGGGTGATGAAATTGATGGAGAAAAGGCCACCTTAAATTAATATAACAAAGACAGGATTTTCGTCTTATGGATTATATTCGTAAATCTGCACGAAACAAAGTGCAAAGATCTCTCTTCAAATAAAATCATACATTAAGTAACACCACTCTAAAATTACTTATTATTAAAGGGAAAAAGCAAAGGATTTTACCAAGCTTCACTTTGTCCAAAAGAATGTTCATATGTGAAATAGCACTTAGGTTCTTGTAAAAGTCTTCATTTCAGTGCAGTCTTTGTCTTTAACTCAGCTGTGAGACCTAATCCAGACTTTATGATCAGTCAGTCTCTCGGTCCTGTTGACTTTAATGCCAGTATTTTCTCTTCCGTTACCTGTGATTGTGTCGTTGTGTCTATACCTGGGGCTGTGACAGTGAGGACAGTGTAAGGTGAGAGCCAGTGGGGTGAGGCTGCACTTTCTCTGCACCATCTGGTCACTGGCTTCACCTTCGGCCCCAGCAGATCTCTGGTCGTCACTTCTCACAGTGAGTGCTGAGATGTAAATTCAAATTACTAAACTATTAATGAATCAGTGAGGGCCCACTTCTCTTTGGCACTCTGACCCATCTGTAGGTGACCTCTGTGGATTTTCTTCTCTTCTCTTGCTCCCAGGATGGCACCGTACCATTGTCACTCCCAGGATTCCTCCATGGTGGGGATTTCAGATTCATCAAGTAAAAATGCAGGACACGGGGCTAAGATTATAATTTGGATCAACAGCAAATGCCTCTTTTGGGGGAAGATGTATGTTAGTACCAAATATCATCTGTTTTATTCTGGCACTGGAGAAAACTTACAGAAGTTTTAATACACATAAGGAATCTTAGCTATCAACACAAATGCATGGCAAACAGGAAGGCATCACTTGACAGCCCAGAAGATCTGCCCGTTTTCAGTATGTGGTGGCCATTTACAGGGCGAGCAGCATAGACTGGGGGGAGAGAGCCAGATACCCCATAGTGTAAAGGAAGGAAATATTAAAATTATTCTCTATAACATTTTATAACATTATGTAATTATTTTTTGGTTATAACTTATAAAACATGTCATCTATAAATAAAGTTGCTCACATATATCGTTAATACGTAATTATTTATATATTAGTAGTACAGGCACAAATACTATTTTACGTCCACTGGGCAGTGACACTGAGGCTGCAGATCAATGTTCTTGGTGAATGTCACTTGCTCAGTTGGTTCTAGAGGTTAAGACACATGTACCATTTTGCTAGTTCCAGCTTTTGGAGAAAGGGTAGCAACTATTAAATCAAATGAGTGATTTCTTCTATTTATCAGGAGTCTGAGATCAGTGTTCTACTTGAGTCATGGACTTCCAGAGGATGAGCCAATAAAACAAACCATCGGTGTTTCTGCATTGTCATACACATTCACATTTGCGGGCTGCTATGATTCGAACTGTCCTTGAAAACATCTTGAAACCTTCTTCCATCTCAGAGGAATCTGAGTGATTGTGGTGGTTTTCCATTTTTTCCTCTCATACACTTGAAGTCTTCTAAGCTGTGTATTCAGCTAATTTCATAAAGTAATGATGCCTGCATCCAGGACAAATAACATGACACAATACTTGCAAAATTTTCTAGTGAAATTTTGTAAAGTGTTATGATTTTGGTGATGTCCTGATAAAAACTTGAAGGGAAGTATCTAATATTGAAAACCTAAAATACTTTTTCTGGCATGGGAGGCTGCCTGTACAAGAAGTGAAGTCTCAATAAAAGGACAACTATGTTATTATTCTCATCTTTAATTTCAGAATATTATGGGAACATAAACACTTTGGTCACATATTACGCTACTATTCTGATGATAAATGGAGTTCTTGTTCTGATAGTTGAGAGCTGGACTTTGGCAATCACTGCTAAGATGCAGTGACTATGCGTGTGATATCTCTGGATTGGAAACTAAACCGAGAGAGGGTCATTTCAAGGAAATACCATTAAAAAGATTTGTGGTGGCTGGGCGCGGTGGCTCACACCTGTAATCCTAGCACTCTGGGAGGCCGAGGCAGGTGGATTGCTCAAGGTCAGGAGTTCAAGACCAGCCTGAGCAAGAGTGAGACCCCCATTTCTACTATAAATAGAAAGAAATTAATTGGCTAACTAAATATACATATACATATTAAAAAAAAATAGCCAGGCATGGTGGCGCATGCCTGTAGTCCCAGCTACTCAGGAGGCTGAGGCAGGAAGATCACTTGAGCCCAGGAGTTTGAGGCTGCTGTGAGCTAGGCTGACGCCAGGGCACTCTAGGCGGGGCAACAGAGTGAGACTCTGTCTCAAATAAATAAATAAAAATTTTAAAAAAAGACTTGTGGTAAGTAAACTAAAGCCTCCCCCCAAAAATACATCCTAAATCTCCAGTAATTGAGAATACGTTAGATCTTATGGAAAAGAGAAATAAGATTGCAAATGAGGCCGGGCGCGGTGGCTCACGCCTGTAATCCTAGCACTCTGGGAGGCCGAGGCGGGAGGATTGCTCGAGGTCAGGAGTTCAAAACCAGCCTGAGCAAGAGTGAGACCTCGTCTCTACTAGAAATAGAAAGAAATTAATTGGCCAACTAATATATATAGAAAAAATTAGCTGGGCATGGTGGCGCATGCCTGTAGTCCCAGCTACTCGGGAGGCTGAGGCAGGAGGATTGCTTGAGCCCAGGAGTTTGAGGTTGCTTTGAGCGAGGCTGACACCACGGCACTCACTCTAGCCTGGACAACAAAGCGAGACTCTGTTTCAAAAAAAAAAAAAAAAGATTGCATATGAAATCCACCTTGCTAATAATCTTCTTATATAAAAGAGGCAGATTTTCTGGACTATCATGTCAGAGGGGACAAGCATAGATTTCCATAAACATGAAAGACAGATGAAAATAGAAGGTGTGAAGGTGACGTGCTGTGAGATGCAAATGGGTTTTTTTCTAAATTTTTGGTTGAGTCTTTTTCCATCAGCATAAAAGTTCATTCAGTTCAGTTTTACAAATAATATTGAGTAATCTTATATGCCCATCATGCTTTGGGGTCTAAATATTAAATGAAAGAATACAGAAGAATAAAGAAATATTTTCTAAGGCTAGAGGCCCAACTCAGATAGAAGCATACATAGTTGACACTATATTGAGGCAAAATTGTGGTTATTGGGATATATATATAATCTAGACATGATGTATAAATTATATATACATAGAAACACACAAGTCTGTGTTATTTTCAGGAGAATCTATGGCTAAGGCTGTATTTTCAATAATTTATATGGGATAATCAGGGTTATTAAAAACATCAGGGTCGTTAAAGGCCCTAAAAATTTTACATGACATAAATATTGTAAAATAACAAAATAATAATTAGGTGAAGTAACAATAATGATGAAGGGTAGACTACTGAACAAAAAAATTGATGATATATCCTTTAATTTTTTTCCAGATATAAAAATTGTTTTCTCAATGCCATTAAAACAATCACTTTTCCCTTATGTTACCATTGAAAAATGCCTTTCTTTTGCAAGCTGGCATTGGACTCACAGCCAACACCTTCCTCCTGCTCTTCCGCATCCTCACGCTCTTTCTGGATCACAGGCCGAAGCCCCACGACCTGCTCACCGGTAACTTGGCCCTCGTCCACATACTGATGCTGCTCACCATGCTGTTTCTTTCTCCAGGCCCATTTGAGTCCCTGCGTTTGCAGAATGACATCAAGTGTAAGGCTCTGTTCTACCTGAGCAGGGTGATGCGGGGCCTCTCCATCTGCACCACCTGCCTCCTGAGCATGCTCCAGGCCGTCACCATCAGCCCCAGCTCCTCCTGGTTGGGGCTGTTCAAACAGAAATCCAGACACTACGTCATCCATTCCTTACTCTTTTTGTGGATTCTCTGTTTTTCCTTCAGTAGTAACCTGCTCTTGTTTACCGTGGCTGCTTCTAATGTGACCCAGACCAAGTGCTGAGCTTTGTATAATACTGCTCACTTCTTCTGCAAGGTACTCAGGTGGAGCCGTTTTCATGCTGATACAAGTGAGACGTGTCCTTTGTAGGCGGCATGCTGCTCTCGAGTGTGTACATGGTGACTCTCTTGTTCAGGCATCAGAGGCGATCCCAGCACCTGCACAACATGTCCCTCTCCCGAGCATCTCCCCGGAGAAAAGGGCCACCCAGATCATCCTGCTCCTGGTCAGTTTCTTTGTGGTCATGTACTGGGTGGACCTGGTCATCTCCTTCTGCACGATTGTGTTGCTGGCATACGGCCCCGTCATGCTGGGTGTCCAGACGCTGGTGGTCAATGCCTATGCCACAGTGAGTCCTTTGGTGATAATCGTTTTTGATAAAAGAATAATCAGTACTCTGCAAAATATGCCACAGAAAGGTCATAGATTTTTAACAAAATAATAAAAATAATTCTCTGAAAAATGAGTGTTTCTGCCTTCAGTTAAACTATTCAAGTGGCAGAAAATTTGTTATTTGATTTACTTAACACGTGTAAAATTGCACTTCTATTATAGCTAAATATTTTGAAACAGTCACTGGCAAAGACTTTGTGGTTTCTTTAGTGTAGTTTCCATCACAACTTACTGTTCTATGTTTTAGAAATGTGTTAATTTTTCTTTTGATTCTCTGTCCTTCTTATAAAAAAACTTTCTATCTTTTTGAGATGTATACTTAAGAAACTCATATTGGTTATAAAATCTATCCATGTTTTACTTTATGTTTATTCTTTTTTGCTTCTGAAAATATTTTTTCAGTACCCTTATTTGTTAAAGAGATTCTAGCTAAGTATCCAATTACAGATTGAACAATAAATTCTTTCAGCACTTTCTGTTTTCTGTGTCTACACAAGCTGTGCAGATTTTGCTTTCGCCCTTGTCTTTTTGCTTTCACCTCTCTGTCCTGTCTCACAGACTTTTTTTCTTTGGTGTTACGCAGTTTTGCTGTTACTGGAGTATTTATCTCTTTTTGAAACAGTGCAATTATGGTTTTATGGATACATGTCCGGGTTTCAATTTTAGCAGTTAATAAATCATTTATTTTATTATTATAATTATTGTTTTCTGTTCTTTAGTGGTGCAATTAAATTATTTTCTCTTTTCGTTCTATTTTTATAGATCTATAATTATATTGGCATTTTTATTAATTTTATTTGATTTTCATCCTTCTCATCATTCTATCTCACTAATCCTTTTATCAGCTCATTCTAATTTAATTTTAACCCAAACACTGTACATTGAATTTTATTTATTTTTGTTGTTTAATTTCTGCTTCATTTATTTCCAAATATGTTTGTTCAGTTTATAATTTCCTAATTTTTCAAAATCATTTTGATTTTCTATTTTTTCTTATTGACTTTACTTAACATTTTAAACATATTTCCAATATGTGAAGCTTATGTGATGTCTAATTTCTTCTGATCCTTTATCCTAGTAGCTTATTTCCTTGTGTCTCATAGTTTATAATTTGGTTTTTACATTTGGGAAATTTTACATTGGGAATAACGTTAGTCAGTAGTTTTCTTCATTCCAAGAAGACAAGTTGTACAATCTCCAAAGGCTTGAGCTTTATGTTACCAGCCGGTACCTGCAGGGAGCTCTGGCTTCTCAGTTTGATAATTGATTACTCCCACAGATTCTCCTTTTAGTTTGCTTCTGATCCTGGGAAGTTTCTGTATTTTCCTATTAGCTCTTTGGGGCATTTTACAAAGTCTTGTAATCATGAAGATGTTCAGTTGCATCAAATGCTATTTGCAAATACATATATATATATATATATATATGTGTGTGTGTGTTTAAAAACATCAAATATCTATATTGCACATATTATTAAACTATTTCACAATGATATTTTGTGGCAGAGTGGTATCTCACTAGAAATCCTAACTTCCTTCATTTAGAACACCACCACTAATAGCTGCCACATGGTCACATTATTGATGAAGTGTAATTATTTTCTTAATATTTGAAAATACGTTTATATTTTACACAAATCTGTTAAGTGGTAATCTTTCAATTTAATGAATACTATCTGTTTATGTGCAGAATTACTGCTTTCCTCTAACATTAAGTTAGTTATGGTAGAGTTAATTACATGAATTTAAGTCTTTTTACTCTAGCTGAAATGCTTATTCTTTAGCAATTCTCTGGCACTGTAAAAGTAATCTCAACTTAGATTTTCTATTTACACCAGTAGTTATTTTAAATGATTTTAAATAAATTTCACATGTGGTTTCATATTACTTATCGGTTATACTTTAATTGATGGTTTCTATTGTTATTTCATAATACTTAGAAAATATCACCTGTAGGATTTCTGCTTTCATCAAACTAATAATTCCTTTTCAAACCTAAGTCCTAGGAATTTTTAATAATTTTCTGTAGTGTTTGACAATCATTTTAATTCTAGGTATTATGCTCAGAATGATGTATAGTTGTCTACCTGATTGGCCAAATTATTAAATAACGTTATTTAACATTCTTTATGTTCATTCATTCGTTTCATACCAGAAAAGTTGATTTGTATGGTGGTTTTTTTTTTTTTTTGAAGCAAAGACCTCACTGGCATGTATGGTGGTTTTAATGTCACCTAATATGGTTGTAAAGATTTCAGATTTTCCTTTGCATTCAACTTTGAGTTATTCAATAAACTCTGTGTTATTAAGTCTTCACATGTAAATAATTTGGAGTTATGCCTGAAACACCATATATATCCTAAGTATTAACAACTCTGATTCATCAGATTCTTGTGTCTTTATACCATTTATTTACTGTATTATTTTGTATTTGTTTTTTATTCAGATTTATATTTTTGTCCAATCTAAATGTTGATCAAAAGAGAGGCAGGCTCAGCCTGTCATTTGGTCGCAATTGGCACAGTTCCTTAATTTACTTTAGAATACATACCTCATTTAGTTCCAGAAATAATCTTCCCTTTTCTATGACAGAGGACTAAGAGACACCAGGTATCATAGATTCTCAAAACACTCATTTTCCCATATTATTCTTCCTTTCTCTTTAATGTCAAATATCATGAAAATCTATTAATACAAACATGTAATACTACACATTAGAAATATATTCGTAGACAATTTCCACACATTATTACAGGAAATTCAAAAATAGAATATATAAATAGACCTCTAACAACAAAAGAGATTAAATTAATCTAAAATTTTCTCATGAAGAAAATCCCAGACATGGATAATTTCACTGGTGAGTTTCGTCAAATATTTAATAAAGAATTCCAGTTCTTCAAGTTCATTTCCCCAAAAATGGAAGAATATAGAAAATTTCCCAAATTCATTATATGAGGCCAGTATTGCCCAGATAACAAAGCCAGGCAAAATCATCACAAGAAAATAAAATTACACACAATTATTCTTATGACTATAGAAAGAAATCTTCAAACATATGACCAAACTGAATGTAGCAACATACAAAAATTATTAGACACCATCACCAAGAGAGGTTATCTCACAAATGCAAATTTGTATTAATATCCAAAAATCAGTCAATGTAATACAGCATAAGAATACAATAAAATACAAAAAAGAATCATTTCAATAAATACAGAGGAACATTTGAAAAATCCACCACCCATTCACAATAAAAACCCTAAGCAGACCAGGAATATAAGACTTCCCAGACCTGCTAAAGGGCATCTTTGAAAATCCTACAGCTAATAGTATATGTAATATAAAATAAAAATTTGACCTTAGTGTGGGAACAAGACAAGAATATCTTTTTTTGCTATTTCCATTCAACATTATGCCACCACTACCACCACAAAAAAAGCCTGATGTCCTCTAGGTGGGAATTGGAAACCTACAGATGACATTCTGTATATAACAATTTTTAAGTAATTCACAAAAACCCACTAGAATAAGTTCAGCAAGTTCACATGATTCAGGATCAATATTAAAAATCAACAGAATTTCTATACACTAGTAGTGAACAATCTGAACATGAAATAGGCAATTCCATTTACAATCACTTTAAAAAGTAAAAAGAAATTTAAAAATCCTGTAATAGATATATTCACTTTATACGATACTATCTAAGTATTGTTAATGTGACACCTTAGTAAGTTACCAGATACCAAGGAGTTAAGATCATCTAAGACTCTGCATTCTCATCTTGGGAAAGGATTAGTGTGTTTTCAGTTCTAGGCAGTATAGTTGTAGTGTGTGTGTGTGTGTGTGTGTGTGTGTACACAGAGGTAGGTATGTGTACACACATGTATATATATATAGGTATATAAATGTGTATACACGTATGCATATAGATGTGTATACATACATATATATACACACACATTCATATATTCATACCAAAATAGGGAACAAATATTCATGATAATTATAATCCTGGTTTCTGTAACTGGTCACATGTTTTAAGTTCATATTCATAACCAACTTCTTGCACTGTTCATTCCATATTCCCTTTGCCTTCAGCAATCGCCTCAGCTAATCCCTGTTCTTTCCTTGGTGAGGTGACCAAAACCTTCACTCTTTACAGGTCTGGGTCATTAGTAGTCCTGTATCAATTGTGTTTTTGTGGTTTTCCCTTAAATTTATTAAAATGTCATGGTAATGCTAGGAGTCGCTTTTGGAGATTTGCTGTATTCCAGACACACTCTTCCTTACCTCCAGTGTGGAAAATAAGCCCGATTTCCTCACGGTTGTAAGGATCAATCCCGCAGCCGGCACCGTGAGTCCCTTCTTTGCCTGTTGGTTGAGAGGCAGGGCAGTGTCTGGATGCCGTCTTGACTTCCACTTCAGTAGGGCCCTTGCTGTCTCCATTCCTGTGTTTCTCTCTGATACCTCCTGGCCAGCAGAGTATGAAGCTGTGGGGTCAGGAGGCAAACGTTTTGTGGAGGGTCACTAGAGGCAACAGTGACTGGTGCTGACCCATTTCCGCACCTTGATTGAGGGACCCATACGTCACAGCTGTGTGAGGAACAGCACCCATGTTGGATGCTGATTCAGAGCATAACAGCTTTCTGCAGAACCTGCCACAGCCCTGCAAAGTATTGCCAGGGATCTGGTGCTGTAACAGACTCTTCAAGCCCCCTCCCCACCACTCCATCAAACCAGCCGACTGGGGGCGGGAGAAAATATGGTAGCACCACAGAATCGCACGAACATAGGCCCAGTCCACACATTATTATCTCTGGATTTAGTCCCTTGACCATAAATAATGTTTCCAGAATGTCTTGCTGGTTGACAGGTGATTTATGTGAGTTAGCGGTTGGTACTTTTGGCAGAAGCATTGCATCCAGGGTAGGCTAATCTGTATCCTGAGTAAGTGCCTAGTCCGGTAAGAACAAAATATTTCTCCCTTCACAACGGAAGTGGGCCTGGTAATCAGTCTGCTACCCTGTGCTGGCTGACCCCACAGTGAATGGTAACAGATTTGAGCTCCGTAGTGGCAGACTCTACCCGTGATGCTCTCTCTGCCTCATGCACAGCACTGGGTAGTACTGATTCAATGATGGTCATACCATGGGGTGCTTGGGATGCTTCCCGTTGTAAACAGAGCTGCCCCTGCTCTCAAGAGCCTTCTCTCTCCACCTGCTGCATTGGTAGCAGGGAAAGACCAGGGGCTCACTCCAAACCCCCTCTGTAATAATGACTTGCATTGTGGGGAGAATGTAATGTTTTGTCAAAATGTCTCCTCCCTGTCCCCTTAGTCAAATTCTTTAGGTGAGAAACCCACAAGAGTAAGTTTTTGAGATCTACTACAAAACAGAGTGACTATAGTTATTAATAGTAATAAGGTAATATGTATCAAAATTGCTGAGATAGGTTTTAAATGTTCACAATACAAAAAAAAAAAAAGATAAATATATGAAGTGATGGGTATGTTGAGTAGCTTAAGTAGATCCCGTGATATAACTGCGGACAAATATTTAATTTGGGGGAGGTTGCCTTATTTTAGATTTTGTGTATACATTCAGGCTTTATTATTTAATAATATATTTAGAGAGCTAGCTTTCCAGTTGGTGACGCAAGCCGTCCCTGGGTCAGATTGGCCGAGACCCAGTCAGCAGAACGGGGAGCCCATTGCTTGTTCCCACAACTAGCAGGACGTGACTTGTTGACCAGCAGAGAGAACTGTTCCTCCAGGCAAATGGCCAAGGACCCATGGTCTCGCATGTGAGCCAGGGTTGTCTGGTGTCCTGCACGCGGTGCCAGACGTTGCAGACGGCCAAGGACCTGTGGTCTCACATGTGAGCCAGGGTTGTCTGGTGTCCTGCACGCGGTGCCAGACGTTGCAGACGGCCGAGGACCTGTGGTCTCGCATGTGAGCCAGGGTTGTCTGGTGTCCTGATGCAGTAACAGACAGTAGAAGAGAGAATGTAAATATCATTGAAGGGCATCTCTGGTGCTATGACTGGAGGAACAGGTGCTGTTGGCCGTGGGAAGTCACGTACCAAAACGTAGCTAGGAAAATAGCTGGCATGAGAAAATAGCTGCGGGACGCTTGCCCAATTAAACAGTATAAAAGTAAAACGACTGGCGCTTCAAGGTGCTGCAGTCTTCAACCGTCTTTGTGTCTGTGTACTTTATTTTTCCGGGACTGCAGCAATTCTCAGGGAGCAGGACCAGGCCATGGAGTGAAGTCCCCATCCCCAGCCTTACGCAGACTCTGCCTGGTGTTCCATCCAAAAGCAATTGCTGGGCAGGAAAGGATTTCATGAGGTGGAAACAGAGAACCTGGGAGTATCTTTGCTCCAAAGCAGGTGGAGGAGGAGCTGGGGCAGTCCCTCCACACTGGGATCCCAGCTGCCTCCTCCCAGCTGTGCCTGACAAGAGCAATCCCAGGCAGTGAGTGCTGAGCCCTTGCTGACTCATGGCACCACAGAGGCACACAGGAGCAATGAGCCTCTACCTCATCATGCTCCTAATCTGGAGCAGGGGCCAGCAAAGGTTTCCTGTAAAAGACCAGGCAATAAACATTTTGGATCCTGTGGGCCCTCTCGTCTCTGTCACAACTACTCAGCTCTGCCCTTGTCCACCAGAAGCAGCCCTAGGCAGTGCAGGAGTGAATGAGCATGGCTGCGTTCCAATAAATATTGATTCTTTTACATCTTTTTCCTTTTATTTATGGGATGTACACTTATGGGATGTACGTGCAGATTTGTTACACGGATATGTTTTGTCTAGCACTCACCTGGTTAGTGTACCAAGCACCCATTGGGTAATTTTTCATCCCACACCACCCTCTCACCCTCCGAATCTCCAGTGTCTATCATTCCACTCTGTGTCCATGTGCACTCATTCCTTAGCCCATGCGTACAAGTCAGAACGTGCAATATTTGACTTTTTGAGTTATTTAACTTACATAATGGTCTCCAGTTCCAACCATGTTGCTGCAAAAGACATTCTCTGTTCTGGCTGAGTAGTACTCCATGGAGGTATCCACATCACACTTTATCCAGTCACCAGTTGTTTCCACGTTGTTGCGGTTGTGAATGATGCCCTGATAAACATGTGAATGCAAATGTCTTTTTGATAGGGTTTCTTTTCCTTTGGATAGATACCCAGAAGCAGGATTGCCGGATTGGATGGTAGGTTTACTTTTAGTTCTTAGAAAAACCTCTACACGGTTTTCCATCAAGGTTGTGCTAATTTACGTTCCTGCCAACAGCGTGTAAGCGTTACCTTTCCACCACATCCACGCTGTTTTTTGACTTTTTAATACCCACTCTGACATATGAGATGATATCTCATTGTGGTTTCCATTTGAATTTCTCTGATGATTAGTGATGTAGAGTTGTTTTTTTTTTTTTTCATGTCTTGGTCATTCTGTGTCTTCTTTGGAGAAAAGCCTGTTTATGTCCCTTGCCCTAGACCCTAGAGAGCCACTATCCTGAGGACCCCAAACGCAAGCGGCCGTTTGCTTGTCACGCTGCCGCAGGGGCGCGTTGCTGGCGTTGGCCACCAGGTGGCAGCAGACGCCAGTTTCTCCGGTTCCCACGAGCTTGGCCGGCGCGGCAGGGCCGGGGGAGCCCCGCCTGGTCCTTCCTTTCGCTCCTCGCCTCGGACCCGCTGTACTTCCTGTTACTGCCGACGATCTCCACGTAATGAGGCCCTTATTCGTTCGCTCAGCGCCCCTGCCGGAGCCCGCGGACTGCGGACAGCCGGACAAAAACCCCAAAGCAAGCGCATGAGAAAGAAGAGTGTTGTAGTGAAAACAGGGCACCCTGTTGGCAGGGAGGGCTGGGGAGTCGCCGTGTGGTGGGTCCGGAATGCCTCGCGGAGGTGACGTGCGGTGGCAGGACGACAGGAAAGGGGCCCGTGTGGCTGCAGGGAGCCTGCGGACACAGGGGCAGAGGCCGGAGGAGCCGGCCTGGGAGCTGGGGGGTGGCCTGCTCTCCCCCACAACTCTGGAGATGAACTGGAGATAATTAGGGAATGACAGAGACAGAATTTCTCATTCTAAGTTCACACAGAGTCAATTGTGTAGCTTACGAAAAGGTGTCCTCTTTGCACCTGAAGAATCAGTGCCATTTCTACTTGTGACTATTTTCTCTCTCTTATGTGGAGCCACAAACTTACTCCAAAAAGAGCACTTACTGCTAATGATGGAGCATCTGTTACACACCTAATGCTGTCTTGTGTTTGTCCACTTCATGTAAACATCAAAACAGCGCACGATGTATGAAGCCTCCCCAGATTTTCCTAAACTGGCTCAATAACGTTAACCAACTCATGTCAATTATAAAAAGGGAAACAAATAATAACTAAAAAAATTACCTCAAGTAGAATTCTCCAATTGAGAAGAAAAAAATGAAATGTACAAATTAACACAATTTAACTTAATACACTCACTGTGGAATTGCTCATATCTTCAAATTATTTTGTGAGCACAATTAAATTTCATAGAAATCATTTATATAATCTCTGAGCAGGTTATATAAAGAAAACTTCATGAACTTAGGTAGAAGAAAATTATGGATTAGGTCTAGCATGAACAAGAGACAATTAAAACCAGAGGATTTTCATGGGGGATTCTGAACCAGGAGCCGTAAGATTTTTGAGAAATAAATTCAATAGAAAGCAGAGAAAATATACTTTCAGAATTCACGATGTTTCTACTTCACTAGTAAATTCTTGACATTTTTGGAATTATCTGTTTTGTTCCTATATTTGTTTTCTTCTCAACACAGGTACATATTTACTTAATTATATTCTCCATAATCCTCTTATAAACTAAAGTTTATCTTTAGAGTGATACACTTCTATATTTGACTCCATGTAAAAAAAATAAAAGAATGTTTGTGTTTTGCAAGCCAGAGAGATCACCTGGTCAAAGAAAAATGCAGGGTGAAATTTTATAAGTTGTCACTCAGAATTCAGAAATGTCTGCCTTTTGACAACCCTTTAGCTACATAAGGAGTAAAAATATAACCTATGGAAATGATATTCCTCAAATTACTTAAAGTTTATAGCCTACTGGAATAAAGGTCACTAAAGATGTTAGTTATTACACTATGCTACCCAATAGTATATTATTACCATCTCTTACCTACAACCTTGAATAAGGTGGGACAGGTTAATGTTTGTGGCAGGATAACACTATATTCAATATACAACACTCTTAAACATTGAACACAATTTTGTTTTATTAAAACAAATCAAGTTCATACATACTCTTTAAAAAAGCATTTCATGGTCTAGTCAATTGTTGGGAAAGGAAAAACAGGGGGTGGGGAAAGCATTTCAAAATCCACTGTATTTTATTACCTCAATATGTAACCGATAAAACTCCTAAAATTCAAAATGTTTCTAACTATAATGGAGAATATTACTATGAACATCTACCTCTGACATCACTTACCACACTCTAAGTTAAACAGAAAGCCTTTCCACTTAGATTTTCTTCATGCATCATACATTTCGGTGTCCTTAGTGTTCCTTGGAAGAGTATGTAAATGATGCCCACCTAATTTAGAAGGACATTTCATAGTTCTGATGCAGCAGAATTGACTACATGCTTTAACAGAAACACTAGGAATAAAGGCATAGCATCGAGTAATTTGAGAGTTGAATTACATCAATATTTAATTTTCCAAAAAATCTAAAATTTTAATGCAAAAAAGTATACTTTGAATGTAATTATAACTCTCCATGAAATCAATCTCCTCTTCCTTCTAAACATACATACACATAAATTACTGAACTATTTTAATTTTGGATTATTCTCTATAATCAACACTCTTCCTTTAATGTCTAAAAGTATTAGCACCTTAGTTGTCTTTTTTTTACTTCTTTTTCTTATTCTTTTATTTTTTTCCACTTGCTCAGACACATTAGCAAGCACTCTGATATTTATTTAGACTTGATTTTTTATTAATTTTTTTTTTTACATTCTGGCATCTGTAAAATATCTTTTACTATAACCTATGGTGTTTTCAAAGGTGTGATTGTTGAATAAAGCTTTTTCTGAATACATTATGTTTGTAGCATTTCTCTCCAATCAAAATTCTAGGAATTTAAATAAAGCTTGGGCAATCAATGGAGGGTTTCCCTACATAATAGATTCTCTTGGGCACAATAAGATCTGTAATATAAGTAAAGGTACTTCACCACCCTTTATAGTTGTAATTTTTTTTTCAGTATAAATGCTCTGGTGCACTCTAAGACTTTTATTTTCTGAAAGGTACTTTGACATTTGTTAAATTTATGCCATTTGTACCCAGTATGACTCTCTGATGTTGAGTAATATGTGAACAAACATTTATTAAAGGCTTTCCATTTGTAGGGTTTCTCTCCTGTAAGAACTCTTATGCACCCAAAGGTGTCAGTACTGGATAAAAGCTTTGTCACATTCTTTACATTCTTAGGATTTTTCTCTGGCATGGATTTTCTTATGCATAGTAAGATCTGAGAACCAGTTAGAGGCTTTGCCACATTCTTTATTCTTAGGATTTTTCTCTGGCATGAATTCTCTTATGCATAGTAAGATCTGAGCACCAATTAAAAGCTTTGCCACATTCTTCGCATTTATAGGGTTTCTCTCCAGTATGAATTCTTTTATGTGCAGTAAGGTATGAGCACTGGCTAAAGGCTTTGCCACATTCTCCACATTTGTAGGGTTTATCTCCTGTATGAACTATTTTATGTGCAGTAAGGTATGAGCATTGGTTAAAGGCTGTGCCACACTGTTCACATTTGTAGGGTTTCTCTCCTGTATGAATTCTTTTATGTTTAGTAAGGTATGAGCATGTATTAAAGGCTTTACCACATTGGTCACATTTGTAGGGTTTCTCTCCTGTATGAATTCTCTTATGTACAGAGAGGTCTGAGTACCAATGAAAGGCTTTGCCACATTCATCACATTTGTAGGGTTTCTCTCCAGTATGAATTCTCTTATGCTTAGTAAGATATGAGAACTGATTAAAGGCTTTGCCACATTCTTCACATTTGTAGGGTTTTTCTCCTGTATGAATTCTTTTATGTACAGAAAGGTCTGAGTACCAGTGAAAGGCTTTGCCACATTCTTCACATTTGTAGGGTTTCTCCCCGATATGAATTCTTTTATGTTTAGTAAGGTATGAACATTGATTAAAGGCTTTGCCACATTCTTCACATTCATAGGGTTTTTCTCTGGTATGAATTCGCTTATGTATAGTAAGGTGTGAGCACCGGTTAAAAGCTTTGCCACATTCTTCACATTTGTAAGGTTTCTCTCCAGTGTGAATTCTCTCATGTTTGGTAAGGTATGAGCACTGATTAAAGGCTTTGCCACATTCTTCACATTTGTAAGGTTTCTCTCCAGTATGAATTCTCTCATGTTTGGTAAGGTATGAGCACTGATTAAAGGCTTTGCCACATTTTTCACATTTGTAGGGTTTCTCTCCAGTATGAATTCTTTTATGTTTAGTAAGGTATGAGCACTGATTAAAGACTTTGCCACATTCTTCACATTTGTAACATTTCTTTCCATTATAAATTCTCTTACGTTCAGTAACATATGAGCATTGTTTAAAGGTTTTCCCACGTTCTTTACATTTAAAAGATTTCTCTACAGTATGTCTCATCTTATGTCTATTTAAATTTGACAAATTTCTGAAGACTTTCAAACATTTATTACACTGGAAGATTTTGCTCTGAGTAGTTTTTGAACATTGCTTAAGCCCATTATAACATCCTTTCTGCTCCTTCAACTCACCCACACTTTCCCAGTCTTTTGTTAAGTTTAAATTCTCAAGGCCACAGCTTCCATATCTCCTCAGTATCACATTTTGGAATAAAACATTTATGTGCTGCTCTGGCAAACAGTCATGGGTGGAATGAGAAGGCATAGCTGAAAGAAATTTTAAAAATAATAAATTATTCCACTTATTTTTCAGAATAAGATAAATATATATTACAAATTTAATATGTAAAATTGTGCCAAGCATATTACCAAAATGACATAATATTAATGCAATACACATGCTCTAATTCTCTTTTAGCTATGTAAAATGTAATAAAACAAACTGACCAAATTGCCTTTGTGGAAATTCTAAAAATTAGGTAAGAGTCTGCAGCACACCAGGTGAGCACAATGCCAAGAGCCACATATAAGGGGAAGAAAAGTTTGTTATATTTACCCACCACCACAGCCTTTCCTCTTTAATACATAGTAGACTCCCAACTCCCAGCTTCAGCCTCAAAAGAGAAAGAAAATCCTTCCAGCTGTCGGGGACCTTTCCAAGACTTGTTTCTGTTTCCCATAACACTGAGTGCTGAAAGGAATGCTGCTATAGTTTGAAAAATAGACTGGGTGTGCTAAAACCAAAGGTAAAATATTGTTATAGCAGCAGAGACTTCACTACCGTAGACAGAAAACAGGTGTAGCAAGTGATGGTTCATAAAAAGTATAGGTTCATAAAAAGAAATGTGCAGAAATTGCTTTAACTGGAAAATAAACATAGTTCCACAAAAGAAATATCATAAGAATAGAATATGAGACACCTCAAATCTCTAGTACAGTCAATTGGTGTCCAACTCCCCCAGGAAAAAGACACTTTATAAAGTTTGTGAAAGGTGGCTTTTTTAAATTCTCAAATATTAAAATTCTCAAATCTCAACCAAAGATTACAACATACACAAAACACCAGAGTAACACAGCCCAGTCAAATGAAATGAATAATCAGAAATCAACCACAAAGAAATGGAGATGTATAATAAACCCACAATATTGAAAATACCCAACTTACTTAATGATGCTCAGTGAGTGAAATGGGAATACAGACTACTAAATGAAATCAGAAAAATGAGATATCAGCAAAAAATAAAAGCACAAAGAAGAAATAGAAATTGTGGAGCTGAAGAATATAATAAGAAAAGACTGATAAACTCCCAAATGTCTTTAAAAATAAAAATGAAGGCATAAAAAATCAAGCAGCTCAATATGCTTCAGCTATGATAAATACAAAGAGACTCATAACAAGACAGATTATAAGCAAAGTTTTTAAAGTCCACATACAAGAAAAGAATCTTGAAAGCAGCAAGAGAAAAGTTATGTGCCATCTACAAGCATGCTCCTATGAAATTACTAGTGGATTTATCAACAGAAGCCTTGCATGTGAGGAGAGAGTTGGGTAATATAGTCAAAGTGCTGAAGGAACAAACACATAAAAGCAGAAATACTATACTAAGCAAAACTTCTGTAATAAATGAAGAAAAAAATAAAGACTTATCAAGATAACTAGATGCTGAAAAAGTTTATCACCACTAGTCACCCCAGGCAAATGACAGTAGATGTCACAATTAGGCACAATGTATTTTGAGGTAAATCCTGTCTGATTTCATAAAATATACTTTAAGTCAAAACTTTCACAAAAGACAGAGAGAAATATTAGGCCAGGCACACTGACTGATGCCTATATCATAGCACTTGGGGTCAGGTGTTTTCGACCATCCTGAGCAAGAGCAAGTGCAAGACCTCCTCACTACAAAAAATAGAGGCTAAGGCAAGAGGATCGCTTGAGCTATGATGATGCCATTGCACTCTAGTCAGGTGACAGAGGGAGATCCTGTCTCAAAAATTAAAAAGAAAATTAAATAAAAATGGTTCATTCACTGGAAACATGAGATTTATTTTTATATTATATATATTTTATATATGCGCATGTGTGTCTGTGTAAACTCAAGGTTGCAAAACAAAAGCATATGCTGACAGAATTGAAGGAAAAAATATGCAACAATGTAACATTCCCCTGGATAGAACACCTGTTAGGGCCAAGTGTGGTGGCTCAGACCTGTAATCCTTTGGAAGGCTGAGGCAGACTACTTGAGGTCAGGAATTCAAGACCAGCCTGAGCAAGAATGAGACCCTTATCTCTTCTAAATACAGCTAAAATTTGCCAAGTATGGTGGTACATGCCTGTAGTCCCAGCAACTTGGGAGGCTGAGGCAGGAGTATGGCTTGAGCTCAGGAGTCTGAGGTTGCTGTGAGCTAGGCTGATGCCACAGTACTCTTGCCTGGGATAGTAATGAAAGTTCTTTGGAAAAAAAAAATAGGACTACCATACAATTCAGCAATCCCACTAGTGTGTAGATAACCAAAGGAAATAAAATCAGTTATCTCAAGGAAATATATGTACTCCCATGTTCACTGCAATATTATTTACAATTGCTAAGACATTTAAACAACCTAAATGTCTGTGAATGCTAAATGGACAAAGAAAATATGATACATATATACAATAGAATATTATCTAGCTATAAAAAATAACTAACCATTTCAGTAACATAGAGGGACCTGGAGGACATTATGCTAACTGAAATAAGCCAGGCACAGAAAGACAATACTGCATGGTTTCACTTATAGGAGAAAACTAAAAAGGTTGTACTCATAGAATCAGAAAGTACAAAAGTTGTTCCCAGGGCCTGAGGTGGGGAAAAAATGGGGAAATGTTGTTCAAAGGGTACAAATTTTCAGTGATAAGATGAAAAAGTTGTGTGGACCTGATATGTAGCATTGTGACTGCAGCTAATAATAATGTTTTGTATCTTATAATTTGCTGAGAGTAGACCTTAAGTGTTCTCATTACCAAAAAAAGGTAACTGTGAAGTGGTAAATATGTTCATTAACTTGATTACATTAATAATTTCACAATGTACACATGCTGAATGATTACATTCCACATAGTTATACAACTTCTTTTTTTGTGTGTGTGTGTGTGTGTTTTTTTTTGTTCGCTTTTTTTTTTCTTTTTATTTTATTCTAGTTATACAACTTCTTTGTGAAGAAAATCCATGTCACCCACACATACATATATATGACTGATGCAGTCCCAGTAAGCTTCATAGAAAAAAAGAGAAAATATTAGAAGCAAGACTTGTCAGAAAAAAAAAAAAAAAAAAGAGAAAATAATAACATAAGTTATTAAAAAATAAAGTCAATACTAGAGCTTAATATATGCTCAGCAGTGTTTCAAGCTCCCCAATGACATAATATATTTAAGAAATTTAGGGAGTAGATAAATTCAACTATATAGTTGAGGAATTTAAGGATATAGAGTTTAAAATATTAATCAGAGATCACACACTAAAAACAGAATTTTGAAGTAAAATAACATTAGATTTTATTATATTAATGGAAATGCTTAGTGTTTTGATAATACTAGAGTATGAATTTCTGTGGAATCACATTTAATACTTCCATAGGATAGGAAACCATAGAGCAGAGAACATACATCTGCTTGTGGTGTTCCTGGGATCTCTGAACCTAGTACCAATATCACCACTATACTCACACATTTCAGATATGATGCGAAAAGGAAAATTACAAAATGGTTTAACATAGAGTTCCTCAAAAATACACAGATATTCCCATGTCATGAAAAGCAGTGAAAGAAGAGCCAGATCCTGCAGTCCCTTATACACCATGAACAAGACTTGGGCTTTACTGTAACCTCAAAGGAAGATCACTGAAGGGAAAGTCAAGTTCTTAGATAAGAAGAAGGGAGAGATGCCCATACGTGAGAACAAGAGAAAGAAACCCAGGCTTCTCAGAAACCATTTCCACTGGATCAGAGCTTCCCAAACCACACTTTTAAGGTCTGGCTTCCTCCTTGACTTTTGGACCTCTCCACCTGTGTCACCTGCTTCATTCATTCACACCTACCTGGCTGTTCTGCTACTGTCTCAGGTCTCTTCACACTCCAGGGATCTTTTCTTTGCTCCAGACAGGTGATCAGGTCTGGCTTAGAGGCTGCAAGACCTGTTTTATTAAAAGAAAGTAACATGACTCTTGCTAGAATTCTGCAATCACCAGCCTAATACTGTGCTCAGCAGAGAAGAGTGAACATTATAGAAGATTTTAGAAAATTAATCCCAAAGTACCATTTCCTGATACAATTTAGAATATTTAGAAAGTACTTGAAACTTGTACATCCTGAGCTCTGTTACCCAGTACTAGTGAATCAGAAATTGATGGTGGAAATTGGATTTTAAGTTGTGGACAACAGTATTTTATACCACTAAATTTCCAGGATTACCACTGATCTAGAGTGAAAGACACAGATCAGCTCAAAAAAGAGTAAGATTAATGTTAAGATAAAGATTGTTGAAGATTTTTTTTCTATACCAACAAATCCCTCAGTTTTCCTTGGAAACAATAATTTGAAATTCATTCATATAAAGCAGAAACTCCCAGAAAACATTCTACAAGGGATATGAAATCCTTAGTGTGAAATACAAATTGTGTATTGAAGTTATCCTCACCCAGAGAGAACAGATTTCTGTAGTTCTCTAACATCACATCCCTATACAAATTCCACTGAGCAGGGTCCAGGCATGCCCACTCTTCTGGAGAAAATTCTATGGTCACATCCCGGAATGTCAACAGTTCCTGAAAGAAAAACACATATTTACAAAGTGGCCGTGGGAAGAGTTCTTAATGTGACTCCAGGTGAAATGGGAGAAAGAAGGATACAGGTTCTTACTCATGTGAGTGACTGGATTTATTCAAAAAGACAATTTTTAACACAGAAATATTCTCTAATTTATTCTCTAACTCTGAGGAGAAAAATGACATAAGATCCACAAAACTGGTATAGATATTATAGTTTTCTGGATGATACAGTATAAAATTCAGGTTGCCAACACAAGCTTCTACATTTTTGAGTGCTATATTTATATCATATAGGATAAGTTGTATATATATTTCAGATGAAAAAGTCATGCTGAGTTAAAAGGTATCTCTCAAACTTTAATGTGTACAACAATGAACTGGAGATCTTGTTAAAGTGCAGATTTTGATTCAGGAGATCTGGACTGAAGCCTGAATTTCTAACAAGCTCACCAGTTATGTCAATGCTTCTGGCTCAAGGGGAATGTTTTTCAAACATCCAGTAAGTGGCAGAGCCTGGCTGTATTCTAGTTCATCTGACCAGGAAACAAAGATCATGGCCTTCATTTTCCAAAGCAAGTTATATGCAAAGGGAATCTAAAAAGAAAAAGGAGCTTCCAGATTAAATGTGATGGTTTCTGCACATCAGTTGGTAAATCTTCATAGGGACCTATTAATAAAAAGAAAAATAATTAACTCTACGGTGAAAAAACTCTGTCAGCGAGAACTTAACCAAGTAAATAAAATTAACATCAACTGTAATAGGACAAATTATTTTCAGATGCCAATGCACACAGACATCATGGCTGTGTAAAAACACTAAATTTCTGAATCTAATTATCAAGAAATGTCAGTTTTATGCAAAGTTCAAACTACAGCCATCTCTCATATTCTGTAATCTCTAATAGTTAGTTGTTATTTATTTATTTAGACAGAGTTATACTCTATTATCCAGGCTAGAGTGCTACGGCATTAGCCTAGTTCACTGCAACCTCAAACTCGTGGGCTCCAGTCATCCTCCTACCTCCACTTCCTGAGTAGCTGAGACTACACATGCATACCACCACATCCAGATAGTTTTTTTCCCATTTTCTATAGAGACAATGTCTCACTCTTGCTCAGGCTGGTCTCAAACTCCTGAGCTCAAATGATTCTCCCAACTCAGCCTTTCAGAATTCTACGATTACAGGTGGTGCGAGCCACCACGCCCAGCCTCTAATAGTGTAAATAATCCTTCTTTAGGATCCTAGAGAGCAACTCCCTTCTACTTATTCTCTTTCTCAGAACTTTCTGAGTTATTCTGGGCAATTAATGTCTATTTTACTAATCTTGTTCTACACAGAGCTGATGCAACATCCAGATAGAACGTGAACAGTACATGTCCCCTTCTTCACTGGTATCCCAAGGCCTGAACTCATCTCCATTGGGAATCTTGGACATCAAAGATTTTGCTTCCAAGATGTTCAACAGCCACAAAGGGAATATTTTTAATATTGGAGGTCATGAATTTATGGTGAGAATTGTTCATGGCATAAAGAAGCTTGGATGGAGAGAATGGAGAGAAGGCCCTAGTATATAAGAAAAAAGAATTCTTCTGAGCCTCTTGACTATCATTAAGAAAAAAAAGGGAAAAAATGTTGAAAGAAACTCAACAGGTAGAAACATCAAAGGAGAGTAAAGGTTTGCAGAGTGTAAACATACGACATTCCAATAAGAAAAGTAAACATAGCCCCTGACCTGTGACATAATTACCTGAGAACCAGCCATTTCTTCCTCCTTCTCTGAAATTCCTTCTTAGGTAAGATGATCTGCACAAATCACAGCTGCATCTTGATAATATGCCTTTAAAGGCATCAGCACAATCCCTTCTCCTGCTGCCACCACACCACACCACAGGCAGAAGGACGCTGAAGTGCATAAAAAGTGTATCCTTCCTTGTCCTTCATTACAGGAGAGTCAGGAACTTCTACATGGAGACCAAAGTGTGTTTCTTCTTTCCTGACCTCAGGTGCCCTCTCCTGCCACAGTCACCAGTAAATTCTACTATAACAATGGAAATATGGGCCACACTGAGCTGCAGCTACAAAGCCCAAGCCAGAAGGCCCTGTGACCTCCCTTTGGAACAAAGTCTGAAATCAAGTCTCATGAATATAGCTCAGAGCCCTAGTACTTGACCCTAGCCTCAACTTAGAATCACCCAGGGCACTTAAAACCACATGGATGCTCCCACCCAGATCAACAGACAGAATCTGCATGGAGGGAACAGGTGATGATGTTTCAAGCTGACCTTGTAATTCTAATAGAAAACCTGGACTGAGAGTCTCTTAGAATGTGCACATAAGTATTTGCTAATCTTGGCCCCACTCTAAGTACTGTGATTCTGCAGGTATGGAAGGGGACCATGAATTGCCTCGTTTAAGAAGTCCTCTGTTAGTGCTGATGTTGCTCCCCCTAGACCTGTTATCAGTAGCACTCAGATAGAGAAAGCTGGCACAGCACACAGAGGGCCTCACACCCAACACTCTTATGGCAAAAATACTTTTGGTCCAAAGTGAAGACCACCAATCACCATGCTGAAACATGGCACTCCCTTTAAAGTTTACAGAAGCTGGAGAAGGCAGCAAGAAATGTCTGAGTTATTCTGCATTTGGAAAACAACATGTGCACATGCATTAATGCAATGTTTGCTGAGCATGTACTGTGGGCTCACAAGTATGTTATAGTGCATGGAAAACTCAGTTTGTGAATTCATCCTCTTAACACCCTGGGAGGTGGATACTAAACGTCCCATAATTCCCAGTATTTAGATTAAGGGCCCACCCTATTTCTTTTTTTGTTCATCTACTATTGATTTTTAAAAGAAGATGCATAGAATACAAGCTAAATACAGACAGATGGGAGGGATACAGGAAGGAAGGGTGGAGGGAAGTTCAGAGGGATTTTTCATTTTTATGTTTATATTTACTTTCCTGAAACTTATAGAGCAACCATTAACACTAAATCTAACGGAACAGAAAACACATTGCTGGGTGGAGTATCTCCAGAAACATAGGCTTTAATATAAGAGAAATAAATGAAGGTCCCCAAACAATAGTCTTTTGCTCTCATTTATCTGCTTTTACGTTTGGAGGAACTGTGAGCACCAGCTCTGGAGAGACAGCAGGAGAAGCAGCCAATACTCTGATCTCCTCTAATAAGTTCTGTGCAAGGAGATTCTAGGGTGGGGCGAGACCTGGACCAGGCTCAGAAGAGGATGAATCTGGGCAGGGATGTGGCAGGGAGAGGGCTCCAGTCTTCTCATCTCTCTATGACCCTGGGGTATAGAGAGATGGGGTATATTCAGTTCTCTTTCCTCAATCTACTTGAGAGAAACTTGACTCCTAGAGTCTGTATAATTTCGATATATTTATACCACTTTCTAGTATACTCTATAACATATAATAACAAGCAATTTAATCAAATTCCTTAGGTTTTTTTTAGGACAATTATATTAGAAGCTAAATATTTATTCTTAGCAAGGTAAAAGCAATAGAAATAACAATAAAAACAACTCTTCTGTGCATAAGTAACCCTCCAGGTGGTCACATCAGAACTCACAGCAATATAAGGGAAGTGTCCAAATGAAACCAGAGTCCCCTGTACATCTCCCTTCTTTATACTGACCACATGATGCTGAGTTTAACCATTTTTCCATTTGCTCCAGAGTGAATGTTCCTGGATGGTAGGGATTGTGACTGCTTCATCTGTTTTCCTAATGGCCATATGAAATGGAAGAAAGTGGTTTATCTGTTAGTTTGTGTCTCCAGACCTCTTCATTGTTATTTACCCAAGTACCAGGAAACTGGAGCAACTCCCAACTGGGTTCCAACCAAGATTTCTTCTGTCAGGGGAGGAAGAAATCTTCCCTTTCCTGAGATAGAACCAGAATTAGATCCTGTTGTCAGCCTAAACCTGGTCTGCACGGGACATCCCCAAATGTCTTAAATACTCCTAGGAGCTGGTGGCAATGGCCCCAGTGAGCTTGGGCTGATGTCCCTCCCCAAGGTGATTCAGTCAGGAGAGACTCACCATGACTCTATGGGGCCAGGATAGAAATGGAACTACCCTGGTATAGCAGCCACCCTGGGATCCACGTGTGATACTACCTGCCTCTGATCCACTAACCTTTGAATATGAGGAAGGACAATAATATTCTAGTCCAGTAATATAGTGTATAGGCATGTATAGTTGTGGGCATGGTTCTGAATATTTTGTAGCCCTCACCTCTCACTGCTGATGTGCTTGTTTACCCTTATTGATTCTGCCACCAGATCCTGTTTACACCAGGAGCCCCTCACAACTGCAGCAGGTCACTAAACAAAATGTGAAAAACTTGGGAGGGCCCCACTGCAAAAAGGGGGATTTACAACATGTATGCTGATCTCTCATAATGCCAAAAACATCTCCCCAGGGTTTTCTGTACTTCGTCAGTCCAAATCCTGGCTCTGTCTTATGAATCCCAGGTGGAAGCCAGTTCTTAAGCACAGATTCTAGGTGGGATTAACCTGGCTTTGTATCCCTCAGTGTTAAAGTGAGAGGAGGGAAACTCAAGAAACTGCTCTATCACATCCTGAAGAACCTAGGACCTGGATTCAGAATCTGAAGCCGCAGATTTAGGTCTTGGAGGGTCCAGGAAGTAGTAGGAAACCCCTGCACATTTGTGGGCATTTGGGCAAGAGAAGGAGGGAGAAGGTGAAATTCTCAGACCTACTCAATGCAGTGTGAGCCTGGCTGGTTTTCTGGGCCCCACAGTCTCTGAATCATTTCCAGGTTTCAATGGCATGGGCATTGAAAAAGGTAGAAGGACTGATTGCTTGCCTGTGAAGCTATTTTTGTAGAAATATGGACAAGCTGCTCTAGAAGGGACTGAGGATCCAAAATAGACAGAGAGACCATTCTGCCTGCAGATTTGGGGACAACTTGCACTCTTCTCAACAATTTTGTGTTATAACTGGAAGCCT